TCAAGTTCTAGTAAATTTAGAAACATAAGATCTTGTATACATAATCTTCGGAACCTAAGCTATAAACTGACATAAATGTACGTTTTTGTGTAATTAATACATTTAGGGTGTCCGATACTTTTGTCCAGATACTGTATATTAATATGCTTTTCTTATAATAAAAAATAGTGAAATAAACTAACTTTATAATAATAATTTATTCTCTACAAAGGTTGTAATTTTGATTTTAAAGTTGGAACAAAAGAAAATAGATTGAAAAAGAAGGAATGAATTAGTAAATGAATGGGAAACATTCTTAGTTTTTACATTCATATTTCATATATGTTGCTTGTTCTTATATATATCATATCATTCATATATTTTATAACAAATTTTATCTATATACCTTATATATTTATATTGAATTCCGTTTATTTGACTAAAAATTATACAATTTTTTGCTTCATATGTAACCTTTAGATTGATTCGCATCCAAACATATCCCAAATATTTAAATGAAAGTGCGTAAGGAAAGATAATAACTGCGTAATTTTTTTAAAAAATAGTTATTTAATGAATGGTGTTACCCATAACAACACGTATTTTGAGACAACATCGTACAACATAAATTAAATTTATCACAGTGATCATCAAATTGTGACATAAATAGAATTTCCACTATGCTTTGTTGTTGTTGTTATCACTATCATTGTTATTATTAATGTTTTTAACATTGTTATTACCGACATTTGACAAGTCATGTAAGGTTTTAACGCTTATAAAAATTGGTTCAAAAATTTTTTTGCTTCCATTGTTTTTATTGTTGCTATTATTATTATTATTATCATTATCATTATCGTAATAACAATAATTATTGTTGTTGTTGTGATTGTTGGTTGATGTAATTTTGTTGCGATTAGCTTTTGTTAATTCGTTATTCATGTTGTAAGAAGGAAAGAACGCGTATAGGTGTTATTATTGTTTAATGTAATTTTGTTGTGATTATGTTTAGTTAATTTGTTGTTCATGTGAGTTGAAGAAGGAAAAGAACGTGAATGAAATAATCTATTTTTGTGTTCGTGTTTTTGGCATATTAATATTTTATTATTAATCGAAAAAAAAAGCAATCTATCACAGACCGATAATAGATAAATCGGTAAATCGGGATAAAATTACTCATTTTCAGTGCTGATAAACTTACAATAATAATAAAAATTCTGCCAATTTTTATGTCCGCACCAATCACGTGATTAATCAACATGCCGGTATTTATTATTATGATTCAATATATAAAATAAAAAAATAAAAGGAATGCGAACTGTTTTTTACTAACTTTCATACATAAATTTGGAAATTGGCAATCCAATTTTAGATATTAATCATCGTTCTAAAAAATTCGCCATTTCTATATTTTTAATTAAAAAATAATGCCACGAGCTAAATTAACTATTGTAGTTGCTAATAATATCCTGGAAAAATTGCTACTGTGGAAATGCAGGCAACTCTTATTAGTACTAGTGTAAAAAAACCAAAATCCAGGCATCCAGATAACTATTGAACACACAAGGGTAGTTGCTCTCATAGAAGTGGCCTTTGTTTGTCGGAAAAATATGTTGATTCCAAAAGACACAAATCATTTTCAAAATAAATAAGCTATTTCGAAATGAATAAATGTAGTTAGGCGAATCATCCACAACAAAGAAGACTTTAAAGCCCCAGATAACACCCTCTCTAATTGTGACTGGACATTTACAATTCGAAGTTCAGAGTTACACAACGTAAGTAAAAGTTTGCAGGGCTTCCACAACTAGCTTGAAAGAAAAAAGAGCTCTGTGGTTCTAAATAACGTCAATCTAATTGTAATGTGATGAAGACTCGACATTTTTGGCTTAGAAACCATACCCACTTTGCATCGTAAAATGTTTGAGATATTTTCCTTTGAAGGTTCAAAATCCCTTAAAATGAATATCTTTTTTCAATCTTCAGGGTTTTCCAAACTCTGGTTATAAAACCAGATTTTTAAATGTGTTATATTTTATTTTTATAAATCTTTGGATCAAGAATGTGAGTCAAGGAAATTTGTTTTAGTTTAGGATATTATTGATTTAATTTTTAACAATTTTTTTAGTGACGCGTCCTAAAACTGATTAATTGTCGAATTTTTGGCTTTACCTTAACGAGTGTCGAAAAGATGATAATGGAACTTCAAGAGTAGCAACAGAGGTTAATATTGTCTGAGGAATTTTTTACTAAACATGTGTTGGTGGGTCTTTAGTTAGATTGAAGGGAGGGGAGAATAAACTCGAGAGATTATGTATATTTTATTTGTAAAATTACTTTTAATCTTTATATAATACTTATAATAACTATATACATGCTTGTCTAAAATATAAATTCAATGACGAATATTATTCATTTATTAACTTCTTTAGATTTATTAACTTTCTTTACTTTTTTATTATTAATCTTATTATCATCATAACTACCATTTTCTATCTCTCTCTTCTTTTTCTGAATTTCTTTAATTTCTCCAAATTTAGTGTCATGAAGTTGCTAAAAGATATTTATAAAAAATGAATATGGGTATAATTTATTTATTTGGAAAATAGATATTATATGATTATTTATTTTACCATATTAGCAGCACGTTTAGCAGCAGATACTTCGTTTAATGTTTCAATCACTTTATTTTCATTGATTTCCCACTCTTCTAATTTTTTATCTTTCAATAAATTAATTAATTAATTAATTAATAAATAAATCAATATTAATCAATCAATCAAATAATTAATGTCGATTTTTTACTTATTTTATTTTCAATATTATGAATTGATTTTATATCATGTTCAGTCATAATTGATATTGCCAATCCACCTCTACCAGCTCTTGCAGTTCTGCCAACTCTATGAATGTAATCAGTTGGATCTTTTGGAATATCAAAATTAATTACAAGCTGAACAGTTGGAATATCAAGACCACTATATTATATATAAATAAATATATGCAATAAAAATCATTAATTTAAAAAAATTTCCCAATAATAAACAATGATGATACAAATTGGTAACTTACCGGCTACCAACATCTGTAGATATTAATATTTTAATTACTTCAGCTTTAAATTTTCCCAAGCTATTTAATCTTTCTTGTTGACTCATGGTAGAATGTAAACTTGTACATCTTAATCCTAATTCTATCAACATCACTCTTAACATTTCTGCTGTTCGACAACGATTGCAAAATATTATTACTGATTTATTTGATAAAAGTTCATCATTAATTTTTGATCTTAATAAATAAATTAAATAAGGCTCTTTTACATGTGATGGTATGAATATATAATATTGTAAAAGTTTTGACACTGTTGAAATACTTGATTGATTATTGATAGATAATTAAGGATTAAGATTAAAGTTATTGTTAATATATTGTAATATGTTATATATACATATATATACATATATACTAACTTTGATTTTACTTGATAAATAAAAGGATTTTTTGGGGAATTTTTTAATTCTAGAATATTTTCTGTCATTGTTGCTGTAAATAATAATGTTTGACGAGTTTCAGGTATTGAATCAAATATAATTTTAAGATCTTTTGTAAATGTATCAGTTAATAAAAAATCTGCTTCATCAAGAACCTTGATTTTTTTGAATTGCAAACAAATCAATTAATTAAAAATTGGATAAATTAAAAATAATAATATTATTTTTAAAATTACCAAAAATTTAATTCTAGCAAGATTTGATTTTACACCACTATTATTTATATGACCTACTAAACGTCCTGGTGTGGCAATCACTATATGTGGTTTTCTTGACAATTCAATTGCTTGATTCATCATGTCAAGTCCACCTACTATTACACTACTTTTAAGATTTATACTTTTACCTAATACTTTAAATTGATCTGCTATTTGAAATGTCAGTTCCCTAATAATAATAACAATAACAATGATAATGACATGATAAATAGTTTTTTATTAATATAAAAAAAGTTCATTAAAAAAATACCTTGTAGGTGTTAAAATCAATGCAAAAATACCATATGGGTCTTCTGATAATTTTTGCAAAATAGGAAGTGCAAAAGCTATAGTTTTACCTGAGCCTGTTTTTGCTCCACCTATACAATTTCTACCTGATAGTATAGGTGGTATACAATGTTTTTGTATTTCACTTGGATACTTTATTGACATAGCTTTTAAAGAATCAATTAACCATTGATTTACTCCCAAATCTTGAAATGTTGTTCTTTGTGAATTGGAATTATCATTATTAATAAAATCATTATCTTCTTCGAAATTATCATCAGCCTCTTGGTCTGACATTTCGTAGAAAAAAATTTAATGTAGATCTCAATTTTGATATGCACAAAAAATTTGTTTACAAGATATTTATTTAAAAAATGTCTCATCAAACTGGAATTCAAGGTTATTTTGAATAAATAGATAATATTTATGATCTTTTTTTAATTTTAGTGTTTTGTGATAACTATTTAAATAGTTTCTGAAGAACTTGGAGAATTGTTTGCAAATGCAGTTGCTAAAGGAGATTTAAGAATAATACGTGTATCAATAATTAATGGTATTTAGTTCATTATTTATACGACAAAGTGAATATTACATATAAAATAATAAAATAATGAATTTTTTTACCTTGCTTTAATTTATACAAGAGTCACTCGTTCCCAATGGTACAAGAGAAATTAAAAGTGATTGGAAATCGGGTATAGTGATATATATGTGTGTCAATAAATCATTTCGAGATTTATCCGATTTTCCTTCATTTTAATTAACATAATAGAAAATTTAAAAATGGCTTGCAAATAATAATAGATTTTTCCGAGATTGCTGAATTTTTAGAAGAAGAGGTTCCATGTTTTATACTATGTTAGTTAATAAACCATGATGATGATAACAATTGATGATAACAATAATTTATTTCTAAATTTTGATATATTTTGACCTTTATAAAAAAAAATTTAAAAGATCGTCTTGACAGTAAATCTTCATCTGGAGATTATGAATGGTTATTTGCTGCTTATGTCCCTGATCATTCCAAGGTTTGTTGTTTAATTATCTTCTAGAATTTATTCGTTGATTGGATTGGATTGGATTGGATTGGATTGGATTGGATTGAATTGGATTGGGATTGAATTGAATTGAATTGAATTGAACTGATTCATTAATTAATGTTCATAGGTAAGAAATAAAATGTTGTATGCAGCTACACGTGCTACACTGACAAAAGAATTGGGTAACAATCGCTTTGTTGATTCAATGTATGGAACTTCAATGGTGAGATATTTTTCATAGTTTTATATTTTTATATAGCAATTAATTTGTAAAAAAAAAACTTACATCCAATACATATATGATTGTTGTTAAAAAGTCTGAATTTACATTGGAGGGCTATGAACAACACAAAAAACATCAAAATGCTGATGCACCATTGACACAACGTGAAAAAGAATTAGCAGAGATTAAAAGTATTGAGGCAATTATTATTTAATAATAATATATATTATATATTATATTGTATTATGTATTAATTATTAAATTATTAACTGTAATTTCACTTTAATATTTATTTATTTAGGCTGGCGTTAATAATTATAGCACATCGACACGTAAATCTCATGCATCCGGAGTTGCGTTCCCTTTAACTGATGAAGCAATAGAAGCAATTAAATCTTTAAAAAGTGACAGCGATAAGAATAATTTTGTTTTGCTAGTATGTTATTTGTTATATATTATTTATTAGTCTTATTCCTTTAGCACCTAATGTATTTAACATCAATTTATGTGTGTCTAGTCAATTGATACAGAGAAAGAAAAAGTCGAACTTGATGTAATGAAAAAAATTGATATTGAAAATCTTGCAAATTCTTTTCCTATAGATATGCCAAGATATGCATTTTTTATATATGATCATCATCATAATGGACAAGAAATCAATTCCACCAGTAAGTTTTAATATCCATTTAATCAATCAATCAATTAATTAATTTAATTGATTGATTGACTGATTGACTGGTAATGGTTATTCATAATTTTCTCTGGAATATAATTAAACTGATTGACTGATTTGATTAGTTTTTCTTTATACTTGTCCCTCGAGTTCCAAGATTCGTGAACGAATGTTATATGCAGCGTGTCGAACATTTGTAATTTCATATGGAGAAGTTGAGATTAAACTTAATATTGATAAAAAGGTAAACCAGTAAAAAATTAAAATAATATTTTCATTTTCATTTCATACTAGTATTAATATTAATACGAACGGGTCAATAAATTAGCTGGAAACAAGTGATCCAACTGAACTCACAAAAACTTATGTTTTGGAAGAATTACATCCACAAACTGAGGAAACTGTAACAACGACATTCTCAAGACCAAGACCACCAGGAAGAATAGGAAACACAAGATCATGATTATTAATATTAATATTAATATTAAATCACTATTTGTATTAACTTATCAGCTATTAATAATTATTATAAAATTTTTTGTGATTTGCGATAAAATCTTGTCCCATATTTGTCAATTATTAAAGTATTTGAAATTTTGATTGGCCATCAAAATTAAATATAAAATTTATCAATTACTCCTTTAAAAAAAAAAAAAAAAGTTTTACAAGATGATTGTTCACAGTAGAGAGAATAACAATAATGATAACAAAAAGAATAATAATACTAAATCAAGTTCAAAAAGAGCTCGTTTAAGACGTGCTCAATCTTCTACTACTTTACAATTTGCACCCCCAACATGGTTATCAAAAGTTTTTCAACAAGAATCAAGTTACTCACAAAATTATTACCCTGAAAGGTCTCGTTTTCCAGGAAAAATCTTTTCAAGAATTTCTTCGACACCTTTCCTTGCACCTAAACTATTATTCATCATGTTATGTGCCGGAACTGGGGCCTCAATTCCTTTTTTACCAATTTTCTATAAAGTTATATTAGAATTGAGTTCAACAGAAATTGGCGCTGTTTTCTCACTTGCACCATTTATTGCTGCTTTAAGTTGTCCACTTTGGACTGGCTTGGCTGATAAATTTCAGGCGCATAGATTTATAATTGTTGTAATATACTCACTGGCTACATTAGGCGTTGTCTCACAAATGATTTTACCAACGATAGTCGATACAAAAGATCAAGCTTATCATGGATTTGTTTTGGGATTTGTCTTAATTGCAGCTGTTTGGTTTGCCTTTTTTGGTATACCAGTCAATGCATTGATTGATAGTGGCGTATTAAAAATATTGGGAGATAAAAGGGAACTTTATGGTAAATTATCATTACCAGTAATAATAATGATAATAATAACAATAACAATAATATTCTTCATCATTGTTATTATTGTTATCACTATTAATTAAAATGTATTTTTTTAAAAAATTTTAAAGGTCAACAACGACTTTGGGGATCAATAGCATATGGCTCAAGCACTCTTATAGTGGGACTTTTGTGGGGTGCATTTAACAATATTAATGTCGTATTCTTTTACTTTTTTACAACTGCAGCATTGCTTGTACTGTGTACAATGTTTACTGATTTTAATCCTACATTTAATGAAATTGAAATAATCCCAACAACACATTATAAAGATTATACATTTAAGCCTTTAATAGATCTGGGCGATCATGATGATGCAGATGTTGTTATTGATGATTACGGATCAAGTTCAAGAAATGTTAAAGTAATGATAGATGATTCTACACATATTGATGAATCAGATGGAGATGACTCTGACATTGATGATGACGACGATGATGGTATACCGGTTCCAGATTTAGATATTTTAGCATTTCCACCTACTACACCAAATTTACCCACCACATCACTTTCAGATCATTCTTCTTCATCAATCAAAGTACTATTAACAAATCCAAGCGTGGTTACATTATTAGCAGTAATGTTGCTGATGGGTATAGCACTTGCTATGAGTAATTCATTTTTGTTGTTATTCTTGAGCCAAGATTTACAAGCAACTTCTACTGTTCTTGGTTTAACAGGACCTTTAAGCTCAGTAACAGAACTTATCTTTTTCTTTTACTCAAAAGAAGTAAGTAGTATATAAATAGATATATATATATATTAAAAAGATTCATTTATTTATTTATTTATTTATTAATTATATAATTAATTATTTTAAAAAAAAATCTTCTAGTTAATTTCTCGATTTGGAATTTACTCATTAGTAATACTAGCTCATATAGTTACAATATTAAGATGTTTAACATATACATTATTACAACCAAATTTAATTTCACATATGTTAGCACTGTTAGTACAACTTTTGAATGGTATCGGATTTTCTGCTCTATGGGTATCTGCAGTAACTCACATGGCTAACAATGCGCCGCCAAATCTTGTATCATTTTCTCAAGGTCTCATGACTGCATTTTATGCAGGGATTGGTACAGGATTTGGTAGTTTATTTGGGGGTTTATTATATGATAGTAATGGTGGGGCAAAATTGATGTTTGAGGTGGTGGTAATTATAAGTTGTATAAGTTTATTTGTCTACATAGTGGGCGAAAATAGATTTAATATAGACATAACATATTTTGGTGGTAAAAGATACGATACAATTGAATTACCTTGGCAAGATTCTTATCATAATAGTAATAATCAAAGTAGTAGTGATGATAGTGGCGGCCGATTAGGAGCTGTAGGAGGATCAAGTTTAAAATCAAATAATAATAATTTCGTATTAATACCAAACGACGATGATGATAACAATCATATGTGAAAAAGGATTTTAAAAATGGTTAAAAATTTTACTAATTTACTAATTTACTAACTTACTAATTTACTAATTTCCTACTTATTTTTAATTAATTAATTAATTCTTTTATTTATTTATAATATTGATGTACCATCATTTTTAATAATAATTTAATGATCTTTTTTTTTGAAAATATAAAAAATATAATAATTTGTTTATATATAGAATTAGAGAAAATTAAATTTTTTTTTTTAATTTATTAGAAATTTGATTATTTACAACTTTTAAAAAAAAATCAAAAAAAAAAAAATTAACTAAAATAAAAATAAAAATAAAAAATTAATTGATATTATTTGCAAGCTTTTCATATTCTTATGCCATTATATATATTTCTTATATATTGTATATATAAATGGTGAAAAAAGATTGTTATTGATACAAATATTATTATTATTAGATGTGATTTTAAAAGTATCTATATAATATAATATAATATTCATTTCATATAATTCTTAATTGCAAATATTTATGTTATTATTGCTTATAAATCATTTAAAATGATTTCAAATCATATAGAATTCTAATTACTAAATCTTTTGAATAAAATAATAAACAAAATTATTTCCTTCGTCCGATTTTCCACCCCGTCTCCATCACCACCTCCTCCTTCTACTATTATTAATACTACTTTTCTATTAACAAAATATAACCATTATAAATGTTGATCAGCAATGATTAATTAATTATTAATTTTCATCAAATGTTCGACAGTCTCAAAAAAATAATTCTAACGATAAAAAAAAATAAAAAAATAAAATTCATTCCCTACAGAAAACGTATAAAATGTGCAATATATGTATATACTAGAGCAAAAGAGCCACTTTGAAGCCCTGATAAACCTCGTTATGCATCTTTTTGAGTTTTTATTTGAATATCAGCATCAATAGTAGCAGACATTTTGCGTTTTTTCTCGTATTGTGAAACATCAGTATTTGGAGCAGAAGCACGTTCCAACAATAATTGTTTGAGAAGATTTTTCTCAATTTCAAGTGCGGATACTCTTTGTTCCAAAAATTCTCTACGACCACGTAATTTACGTTCATTAATAATATCATTTTCCAATTCCCTTACTCTCTCTTCCAAATAATTATTTCTTTCAATAAGTGAATTTTCTCGTTGGGAAACATTTTTAACGTGATCGTGGTCACCATTTGTAATGGCTTCTTCAGGAACAATTCTACGTTGTGAATCTTGAATTTGAGAATTAAAATCAGGTGCTGTATGAGAAGATGGAGGTGGCGGTGGTGCATATTGAACAGGATAATGTGGCGGTGGTGGCACGCCACCATTAGTAGATTCAAAAACCATTTGATGATGCATGGCATTTGGGATTATAAGAGGTTGTTTTCCAGATGATTGAGGAGGTGGTTGCGGTCCTGACATTGTTTGTAATTGATTATTAGTATTTTGTGGCCATGAATGATGATATTGTTCAGAATGTAACACTGGTTGTGTTCTATAGTATTGCATCTCGTTCTTGATCGCAGGAGTAGTAGTTTGAATTTGCTTTTTAGTTGGATCATCTATTAATAACTTGTTATTATTATTAATATTAGGAGAATTAAGCAGTGATGTCGATGTTTGTAATTTTTGTTGTTGTGGTAGAATTTGTTGCAAAGATTGTTTGTTATTTGATTGAGGGAGATGGATTTGTACTTGTGTGGCTTTTCCAGGTTGGGGTTGTGGTTGAGAGGCGGGAATAATAGAAGTAGAAGAAGGTAGCTGTGGCTGTGAGATTTGTTGTGGCGTAGCTTGTTGAAGTGGCTGTTGAACAGACAATTCTATCTTTGTCTTTGAGTCTTGGCCTTGAAAGATTTTTTTCTGCGGGCCACCACAAAAGGTTTCAGCACGTAAATGTCTGTTCAATGCATCCATTCTTGCAAATTTTCTTTTACAGTGTTGACATTGATGAGGTTTTTCACCGGTATGTAATTTTAAGTGTCTTTTCAAATCATGCTGTCTACGGAAAAAATGTTGACAAACATCACATCTGTACGGTTTTTCTTTAGAGTGTGTTAATGCATGCGATTTTAAATTGTGTTGGCGACTAAATGTTTGATTACACTCAAGACAAGTAAATGGTTTAGGTTTTGATTGAGATTGAGGAGAGTTATTTTGTGATGCGTTGTTTGATTTTTCTTGATTTATAGAAAATTGATTAAAACTTCCCGTGGTAGGTGGAGTTGATTCCAATGGCTCTGTTTGGTTCTCTGATGACGAAGATGCTTTAGATTGAGAAAGTACTGATACGTTAATAGTTTGATTATTATTATGTGGAGGTGACGATTTCAGATTGGCAGAAGCAGGTTTATTAGAATTAATAGTGGCAGAATTATTACTAGAGTCATTGTTGCCATTATTATAACTAATGTCGTTACCATTCTCATATTTAATACTGTTAATACCACCACCACCATTACTACTGGGGTTATTATTTGAATGCTGAGTAGTCGAATCCTTTTGAATAACGACGGCAGTGGTAGATATTGTTTGTTTACCTTCTAAAGACATATTATAACCTTCATTATCATTGTTATCATTGTTATTGCTACTATTTTTATCTGTTGCGTCATTTTTTACACTATTAATTGTAGAAACATTTTGATGTTCTTGGGTAGTTTTATCAATATGTGCGATTTCTGATAAAGGCATTTTTTAATTTTTTTGTGTGGCTTGATTATGTATGTGTACACTGTTAAGAAATTGAGAGAAATAAATTAAAAAAATTTTTTCCAAGGAAATTTGAATCTATTTAATTGTTAATGTAGAGTTACACGACAAGCAATTTGCGAAAATTAAATAATTTAAAGATGTTAAATATGTTAATAAATATCAAGTGGCACTATTTATATTTATATGGGATTTAGTTCGGTATTTTTTCATTTTTATTCTCCAGTTTGTTTAACCCTTTTATAATAACGCCAAACACTATATATAACCTTCTTGTAATCTTGTAATCACTTAGCTGGGCCAATAATTGATCTGCAGCTCAGCCTCTAATGTTACATATTTACGTTGCACGAGCTAAAAATTTATATTTATAACTATTTTACCAAAAAATAAAATAGAAATGTCATTTAATAAAAAAAAATTTTCATTTATTCTATTATAGCAGAAATAATAACAATAAGATAGTTACCATAATTGTATTTAAATGGAATTATTTATAATTTTAAGCCACAAACCTCAAATACAAAAGACGGTTGTACAAATATGTATAGTATTTTGGGTGTGATTTTTTACACAAAAAATACTACTGTCTCCTTATACAACTTATACAAGCAAGACAAGTCCCACTACAAGGAGAGATCCCCTGTGTATAAGCCACAACGTCGTAAATCTGTAGAGATACAAACGGAAGCCTGTAATATATTAATATTACTATTACGGAAGGAAACACATAAAGTCACAATCTGTACATGTATGTATGTAATGAATAGTAAAAAATATTTGAGGGCTTCGGATTTTGTTTTATGGGACACACACATTTTACCGCTGTATTCCTCAGTGCTGATTACCGTCTTGCGTTGAGAATACTCGCACGCAAACGACTTTATGTGATCAGATCAAGCAACATTCATTCACCTTGCGGTTTTTTTCTATTGAATTTTTCCAAAATCATCCATTATCATCATTTTTGACCATGTCCTGTGTTTCAAACTCGGGAAAGAAAGCCAAATGATGGTTTTCGCGTAACCATTTTGCGAATATTCATCCACAAGATTACGAACTTTCTTGTGGATCCGGGGAATGCATCGATGGAGCTTATATCTTTAACAGTTATTTGCATTACCATCCTTTTCACTTTAGATTCCATCATTATCATGTCCCTCCTTTTTCCATTCTATAACCCCACCAATTGAATCATGAATGACCTTGTTCATGAATCAAGAGAGATAATCACAACGTCTCCTATTTTCTTCATCCATTGCAAATTTAAAGACATTCGGTTATCAGCCTTAATTTAAAATTTGTTTTTGTGCGACCACCGTATGCGACATATTCCGATATTAATATAATATGTAACTATTCCGTACAACGAAGGACGGACCATTTAATCAATAATTATGCAAAAAATAATTTGCCACTTTCCGAAAACTTAAAATTCCAATTAGATGATAAAGACCTCATATATATTTTATATGCAATTCGGCCTAATATGAATTCATTATTGATTCCTTTATTTGTAATATAATTTGCGGAGAAACCCTTTATTAAATGAATGAATAATTAAAATAATTGTTTTTCCTTTAGAATTATTAAAGATGGTTTATCTGGATAAAATTAGGTCGGGTTAAATATAATAAAGCTACTATTATAGTAATGGTAATAGATAGTCCACTCTTCTTTTTTGGTTATGCTTGGGGCTGGGTTTATTTCATTTTAATCAAATAATTGCCAAATAAAACTTTTATTTAATATGGCTTGTGAAAAAAAAGTCCAGTGATGCTCTTATTGTCGCATATTTAAAAACTGGCAAATTCCCATGCTATTTATTATATATATATATATCCAAAGGGTGTTTTTGTGTGTGCAAAACAGTTTCAGCTATTAATATCAGACAGTTGACATCATTCTCTCGTTTTTTCTTTCTTAATTAAATCGATATCGAGAATAAAAGACCATTGATAACCAATTCCAGGGAAACCTTCTTGATAAACAGTTTTTTCATCTTTAATGTTAAAGAATATTCAATGATTCTAATTGTAAATAATGTCTATTTATTTATAAATATGTGATAGGCATGTGTCAAGTATATATGTGTCTATATATATATGTAATTTTTAGCAAAAAATTAAATTATTATTAAAAATTAATAATAATAAAATATGACGATTATTAGAAAATTAATCATCACCTAATAATAATGATTGTTTTTTTATTAGCCATTTTAAAAATCTTGAAATATAATAATATAATATTTATTATTAACCTAATCAATAATCTAAAGAAAAAAATTTTTATAATGAAAAATGAAATGAAGTTTTTTTGGTTATGCATTTTAATGAAAATTGTCTAAATATTATGAAATGATTTGATTTTTTAATTAGAAATTTAGAAATTCTGATTGAATTTCATAAAAATATAAAATGATAAATATTATGACGTTAATAACGTGTTTTTATTGTGTTTGATTGATTATATATTATCATCATAAGTGAGTTGCTATTTTTTTATATGTAGGGCATCATAAGAATAAACGTCACCAATTTATCAGTCCAATACTGTTGGGAATGTTTGATTTCATTTCTTGGGCTATTATAATTGACCACAGATGTTGAATTAACAGAAATAGTAGATAAAGTAGATGAATTAAACCCGTTCCAAATATTATTGTTATTATTATTATTGGTTGCTTTTGATGTAGAGAATAAGGATGTTGGTGATTTCTTTGATGATAAAATTGACGAAGTCAACAATGAAGCGTTGGTTGATATAATTGATATACTGTTATTTACATTTGACCATAAACAAGATTGAGTGACTTTATTAATCAAAGGTGACGTTTTTGTTGGTTTGTTATTTCCTGTTTTTAAAGATGATGTTGACGAAATTATTGTAAATTTGTTCTGTAGTTGTTGTCTTTGCATTTGGTCAAATGGTAAGTTAATAAGAAATGGTTCGAAATCTGCCAAGAAAGACATTTTTAATAATAATAATATGATTGTTGAGAATAATAGCGGGTTTTTTTATTTTACTATTCAATAAAAAAATTTTTTTGAAGAAATTTTTATCTTGGAAAAAAAGATGTGTTTTGTTATTATATGTAAATATTACTCATTTTATGTGCCACACATTGAAAATTTATACACTACCCGTATATATTAACCACAGATTTTTTTTATAGATATTTTATATTGGATTGTTGAAAATAATATTAATATAGTCAATTAATTGACTTTATTGATTAATTTAAATTAAAAAATTTTTTTTGATCAAAAACAACAATACAACAATCCTCATTCATTATTATTTCATTGATTGAATATAAATTAAGAAACTACCTTCCCCGCTTCAAAATCTTTTTAATTTTAAATCGATCGTTTGGCAACATATTAAGACGTCGTTTTTCTCCAATCATTGGTGAATTTTTTTTAGCCAATCTCCTCGGTTGCGTTTTAATTCCAGTTGGCAGATTCTTTCCAAAATGCATGGGTTTTTGAATTGTTGTCGTTTTTTGTAAAAAACATATTTCTTGTTGATTAATATCGTTTACCTTTTTTAAAATGATGATATGAGGATTAATTATAAATGTACCAATCAATAACGGAAAGGTTTTTTTTAATATAATATAAAAATATTTTTTTATCAACTTCACCTTCATCTTTTTAATATGGATCTCAGGTTGACCATGTTTCTTTCTTTCCTCATTAAATAATTTACGTTCTTTGATACGTGTCTCTGTCTTAAATTTGAACCCAATAGGTTTTGTCAATGGTTTATTGGATTTCTTTGGCGCATAAATAGTACTTTTTGCTTTCGAGATAATTAGTTGGTTTCTTTGAATTTTATTGTTATCGATGATGTTTTTATTATTATACTTATTATCCTTCCTAATAACTTTATTTTCCTTGCTATAAAATATAATATAATATAATTGATTAATCAAGCATAAATGTAAAATAATATAATTGATTAATTAACACGAATGTAAAATAATATAATTTATTAATCAAGTATGAATGTAAGATGATATTTTTTCCTTACTTTGATCTTAATTTGGTATGCAAAAATGGTGATTTTGGTTTTGTAGGCGGATGAAATGATAAAGGAGGAAGTGGCTATAGATAAATAATTTAATAATTAATTAATTAATCAATTAAAAAGAATGATTTACAAGTTGATTTTTGCTTACATGAAACGTTACTAATCTTGATTTTAATCTCTCGGGCGTTTTCTGAATAAACATTTTAACCCTTTCAGCCAATGATACAATCGGTGATTTTGCTACCTGCTTTCTTGATTTATTATGAGTATCATGGAACTTGAAAGGTTTTGGAACCGTGATAGTTCTTTTAATAGTTTTTTTGATTGGTTTCTTTTTTTTTTTGTTATTGTAAAAAAAAAAAAGGAAATAATTTTCAATATCTTTGAAATTTTTACAGATTTAAAATATCACTTATAAAACTTACCTTGACACCAGAAAATTTAGGCGGAGGGGGATCACCAGTCACACGTCTTAATTGATCAAATCTTTTAGAGAAATGGAATTCTTTAGGAACAGTTACAAGTTTTCTTTGAATAACTGGATTAATCGTTGTTTTCTTTAGTTTCTTCATCGAATTATTATTGCTCTTGTTAATTTTGGTGCGAGCAGTAATTTTGGTGGTGGTGGTGGTGATAGTATTAGTTTTAGCTGCACCAATATTAGATCTGACATTGATATCTGTAATTTTTTTAGTTGCACCAATATTAAATCTGGTATTTCTTGTTGCATTAATATTAGATTTGATATTTTTGGCTTTTGTATTTATTGATGCCTTTTCTTTGACAATTGCAGAATTATCAATGAGCGAGGAAGCAATGGTATTGATGATCTCATTCTCATTCTTTCTTTGATTAATATTATCATCAACATTATTATGAATATTATTGTTATTTTTTATAATATCATTGCTAATTTCTTTTAAATTAAATTTTTCGGGTGAATCATTGTTATTATCATTATTATTATTATGAATATTATTGTCATCTTTTGTAATATCATTATTGATTTCTTTTAAAATAAATTTTTTGGGTGAATCGCTGTTATTATTGTTGTTGTTATTATTATTGAGTTCAGTCTCATTTTCAGATAAAACTTTTTTGTTGTTCTTATTGGAAATTATATTGCCACCGCCACCACCATCACCACCACAATCATTTTCTTTCTCCAATCTACCTATTACCGAAGAACAAAATGTAACCTTTTTTCCAGATGCTGAATGTATATTCCTCTTTCCAGATAATAAGTTTTTATTGAGAATTGGGGTTAGCTGATAGTTTTTGATTTTTGAACTAAATGTGGAATTACTCCAAGGTTCAGTAAAATTTTTTTCCTTATAATCCATGACAGAAACTCTACGTGGTGTAATATCTGATAAACCATTTAAAAAAAAATCTCATCATGATTAATTAATACTAAAATTTTAAAAAAAGAAAAACTTAAAAAACTTACCAAAGCTATTTTTATTTTCAACTTCTGTTAAATCATGAAGAAAGTCAACATAAGTTGGCGCGTTAAATTTCCATGTAGATTCATTTGTACCAGGTGTTTTGACCAATAATTGATCATCTTTACCATTAATTTTCTTTCGATGAGCGTTAAATCTCCATGCTGAGCCACCAGTAGTTGGTGTTGTGAACAATTGGTCTTGATCATCTACGTCAGTTAAATCATTAAGAAAGTCAACATAAGTTGGAGCATTAAATTTCCATGTAGATCCACTTGTACCAGGTGTTTTATCTAATATTTTTTCTTCTTCTTCTTGATCACCACTTATCGTGGTTCTTTTGAAACTTTCAAGAAGATTTTTTCTAGTTGGAAAATTTTCATTATATATAGCATCTTGATCATTTATTGTTGTTGCTGTAACTTCTTTGAAACTCCCAAACATATTTCTTGTAATTGGTGAATTTATAATATCTGCAATATTATTATGTTGTTGATCAATTGTTATCGTTCCTTTAAAATTTTCAAAGATGCTTTTTCTAATTGGAGAATTATTAATATTTGCAGTATCATCTTGTTCGATATTTAAAAAGCTTCTATTTTTATATGGAGAATTTTTTAGTTTCATTATTTATTAAATTCTTAATTGGAAATATTGGAACAAAGTAGATGGATGGATTTAAAATCTTTACAGTTATGATCTTGTCGCGTGTAACAATTATTCACGTGATATTAATTATTATCATGTGATGTTATGTATAACCTTATTATTATTATAAGGAAGATGCCATCACCAAATGCAACAACTGTATTAGGGCGCTGGCATATATCAGCTAATATAGTTTTAATAGAAGCGCTTATCTTCACCCCAGGTAAGACGTTTTTATCACGTGTATGACAATTATTTGCCTTTTTTATGTATCAACAAAATACAAGTGAAAATAAAAGAATTTTTCTTTATAATATATTATGAACTCTTGAAAATTCTTGGGGTATGATTTGCATTGACTATCTCTTGACCAAACAGCCTATTTGGTTCTGAGTATAATAACTCTTACTAATTTGAAAATTACAAACAATGCATCCTGCTAAAGGAAAATCTAAAGAACAAACTCAAGGATTCCTTTTCTCAATCACAACCAAAGTGACCTCTTTTTTGACAAATATATTTAAGGAAATGTATATCAGATAAAGAATGATCAATTATAGTACTTATGTATATGAAATGTGAAATTTTATAAATATAAATAAATATTAAGCCAAAATAATTGGGTGAATGTTTATACAAACAGTCATTTTTTACTAAGCAAATTGATATTGTGAATTAATGAAAAAATGTTTGCTGAAATGATTCCCATAACATTTTAAAATATCGCATTAGTCTGATTGTTATTGATAATTTTATGATGTATGATGAGGTAAAAACTGTGGAGGGGGAAGACCATTTAATAAATCTGGTAAGTTTGTTGGCGCCATGCCCTATAAAAAATTCAGTAAAAGAAAATATGCATTCTTCCATGTATTTTTGTATGGAAATGTATAGGAAAATGCTTCTGAAATAAGGATACTGGCTGCAACTTTTGATGATGGTTACTACTATCTTTGCATCATATAAAAATGATTACAACCACTGGTTGCAACCATATTTACAACCATTTTGTTTCCTTTTTTTGGATTCAACATGGAACATTACTCTGAAAATGTACAGAAAATGCATTTTTCCAGTAAAATTGACCTGCCTGATAACAAGAACTTAACCGGCTAAACCGTTTACTACCTAAATTGGTAATTTTATTTCTATAACCAGAAGGTAACGCGGAAATCCATTACCAAATTTAGAAATCATGTATGCAGATTATTAGCTGGCCACTAAAAGATTAGGTGCTTCAAAAAGAAAATGATTTTTCTGTATGCTTGGTAATTTCTTAAAATAAATTCCCAAATCATTTTAATATCTAAGTATTGAAAACCTTTTCCACCTTCATAACACTGAGCTTTATTTAATCTTGCTGGACTAGACTTTTTACTACCTCAACCACATGACCCAAACAATCTACTCTTGTCTTCTGTAGAGTTTTTTAATCAATCCAAAACTACCATCACATTTGAATTTGGTATGTCCTGGAACTTATTAATATCTATACTACATATTTTTGAAATGACTAATCCCCTGGTTTTTATTTTATACATATATTTCAGTAATAATGGAAAATAATAATAAAAAAGAGAAAGGTATATATATAAGCAAATAAATAATTATGTTTTTTTTATATTTTTGCAATATTTCGCGTTTTTATTTATTTATTTTAGGGTTCCACACTAGATGGATACATTTCCATTGAGTATAGATAAGGAAATTATTGCCTTAAAAATTAAACAGAATGATACAGTATATCTTATCTTTTTATGATATCCCGTGCAGAGATCATAATCTTGCAAAATCTGTGATTTTTTTGTTTTTTTTTGGGAAAAAAAAATTTTTAATTAAATTAATTAAATAGAATGGAGTCAGTCAAACCCTTTATTTGATTTATCACCTCAGCGTCATAATAATAATTGTAACAATCATTCTCATCTGCAACTCTATACATTATTCCCTCCATGATATTTCTAATTATACAATTATATGTGCATAACACAAGGAAGAGAATTGCAAATATTTGCTTTGTAAATGTAAAATTAAATACAAACAATTTTTGTAGAGTAACTAAAGAAATGGGTGAAGGTTCTGAAGTAGATAAAAGACAAACCTATCTGGACAAATCAAGAGAAAAAATATTTATTTTTGTGAGAAGTAATAAATATACTTGTAGGGAATACAGTCCACTCTCTCTATGTATAATGGATCTTTCTATAACAGAATGGACTGAGAATTTATATGCCCCATATATTATCAATGTTCATAATGGATCCTCTCCATAACGGACATTTTTTCCTAATACTAAGCCAAATGGTCCGTTATAGAGAATGTGAACTGCGTATACTGGCGAAATATTTTGCACGGAATGGTGATAATTAAACCCTCTGTGTGGAAATTGTTTACGAGTACAAGCTAAACCTGTATCTAAAGTTAATTTGATGTCATATGTGCTCAAAATGGTAGAGAAAATGGCGAGTAAGTTGAATGAAAGTGGTAAAATAACTTCATCAAAGGATATATATTATGCAGATTTATTGTCAATTGAAATGTGGCCATGAAAGAACTCACCTTGTTGAGTATTTAAGTGATAAAACTTTAAACAAGAGAGGTTGATTAAAACTAAAACTGAGCACTCACTACATTGTCTGATTGGCTTATAATATGTAAATAGTAAATCTAATGATAAATTATATAGATCAAATTCAAAACGAAGTACATTAAGGGCAAAACCTTGTATACTTGGCATCATTGGAAGCGCTACTGCAAGAAAGAAGATTGTAAATTTTTATTTTGTTATTATTGCTATAATATGTGACGCAGATCATTTAAATTCCAACATTTTTATCGTGAAACTTTTTATTAGTAAACAAGATTGCTAAAATAATTACATCTTATATTAAAGTTTTCGATTAACTTTCTCGAGTCTCATATTCTGTCAAAACACCTTTTGAACAATTTATCTGAAAAAAATCAATTTTAGGATGCGCAAGTTTTCCAAGAAGCTTGCTCTGCTCAACGATACATGGCTTGGCCTTCGGCAGATGGATTATGATTAAACAATATTTCTTTCAGGCCGTTATGGCACAAAAGAAATCAACCTTATAGCAGACGGAATATTTCCCGTACGACTTAATTTGCTAAAAAGGTGAAGACAATCGTGGAAATAGAAATAACTAATTAAGAATTAATCTGCAAAATCGGCAAAAAATTACGAAATTTAGAAAGAGAATGTGACACGGCAAACTTTCGATTTTTTTTTTCGTTAAAGTAAATAATAGAATTAATACTAATAATACTACTAATAATAAACGTACTTAAAAATGGTTAGATTAACGAGAAGTAAAGCAGCAATGAATTATGGCCAAACTATTAAAGAAGAAGACGATTCTTCTAGATCGGTAATCAAGGGAAAAAGATCAAGGAAAAAAATTATAGAATCAAGTCCTCCAAATAACAATAACAATAAAAATAGCAACAACAACAACAACAACAACAACATTAGCAGTGGCAGTAGTGGCAGTAGTGGTGGTAATAGAAAAAAATTTAAAATTAATACTTATACCACTAATTCAAAAGCAAAGGAAGTTGACAACAAACCAAAGGTATAATAAACATAATATAAAAACAATAAAAAACTATTCGAAAATTATGCTTGAATGTTTATTAAGTTTTTTATATTAGACTTTACAAGACAAATTATTAGATATATGGAAAGTAATACGTTATCACAAAGACGGAAGGTAAGAAAATACATTTTTAATGTTATATACGATTTTAAATTTTTTTATTAAAAAAAATTAAAAAAATATAGAAATCGATCTATGTCAAAATTATTTATTGTGTTGCCAGATAAAAATGAATATCCGGATTATTATTTAGAAGTATATATAATTAAAATTCCAAATTTAAAATTAAATCCAAATTGAATATTAAGCAATTAAAAATTTTATTTTACTTAGATAGAAGATCCCATCTCATTGGAAATAATTAAGGTTTTAAATCAAACTATTATTATTATTATTATGAAAAACTTATTTATTGATTCATTTAATTTTTAAAAAGAGCAAAATAGAAAATCATGAATATAGAGATGAAGATGATTTTGTGAATGATATGGATTTAATGTTTAATAACGCCAAGAGATATAACGTAGAAGGATCACAGATTTATGATGACGCTGTAACCTTATCGGTAAAGCAAATACATAAATATAAATATTCATACGTATAAAAATATTAACTTTTTTCCATTTCACAATTATTAGAAACTAGTATATAAACTTATTGGTGGTAAATTTGAAAACGAAGAAAATCAAACTTACAAAATTTTACAAGAGATAGAATATAAAGGAGAAACTTATTTTGTTGGTAAGATTACAAAATTAAATTTACAATAATATATAATTACACATAAATAAATAGAATAAAATGTATTCAATATATATTGATTGATAGGTGAATATGTCCATATTTATAATGAATATGATAATGAAAAACCACATATTGTTCATATTTATAAACTGTGGGAAAATAACAAGTAATAATAAATTTAAATACCACCTTTTTTTTTGTTTCATGTTTTATTCACAAAAAAAAAAATTTGTTTATTTTATTCTTTATTTTTAGGGGATTAAAAGGATTATATGGTTGTTATTATTATAGAGCTGAACAAACAAAGCATAATCTTTGGCAAAAATTTTATGAAAATGAAGTGTTTAAGACAAACACTTTCCAGGATCATTTAATACATGATGTGTTAGGAAAATGTTGTGTTATCAATGTTAACGATTTTAAAACTGGTTATCCTAAAGGATTTGAAGGAAAATCTATTTATGTGTGTGAATCGCGATATAATGAGATCAGCAAAACATTTAATAAGATTAAAAATTGGTCTTCACTAACACCAAATGATAGTCGTGCTCCAGCAATTCGATTTGAAATTCGTGAAATTCCTATTGTATTAAATAAAATTGAAAGTCCATTAGCTGCAGAATTCAAGGCTAAAAGGGTCAAAAAAGAAGACTCATCAACATCTGAAGATATATTCTCTCCAGATACTAACTATGATTCTCAATCGGATGTTCCAACAACTCATTTGGAGAACAAAATCACTGAGTCAAATAATGTGCCATTGTCATCTGCTAGAATCAGAATCACAAGTAAAAAACTGTCTGGAAGATACAAATCTAACTCTAGTAATTTAACAATACCTTCACACCACCAAACAAAATCAATCCCTACGTCATCATCACCAATGCCCACACAATCACAATCACAAACACAGCAACAGCCACAACAACACCCTCCACCTGTTTCAAATCCACATGCATATCAAATGATTCATCCTCAGTATCAAATGCAACAAATGAATATGAATTCAATGTATAATAATAATAGCAACATACATCATAACAATGGAATGGTCCCAAGTTCATATGGATACCCGAATTCAACTCATATACAACAAAATCCATCACAATCACACTATGTCATGTCACCTTTTCCTTCATCGCAATATTATCAAAATCAACAGCCTCATCATTATCATCCAATTGGTCAACAATTTACAAATCAAAATATTACTACTTCATATACAAATTCATTTGCACCATTATCTTCTTCCTCTTTACAACATTCACAAAATGCAATGCAAGTACCATCAAATGTCCATTCCAAAGTTACAAATGCTAAATCAGGTAATGGGATTGGTTATTTAAGAAACGTTTTTTATTTTCATTTATTATAATATTAATTTAATATAATAATCAATAAATATTATTATTTAATTATTATTATTGTTATTATAGATGAAATTTCAATTAATAATGGAGTAAATATCAACATTAGTTCATCACAAGCCACTAATGGACAAGAAATCTTAAAATCATTTCAGGAACCTAAACATTCAGAAAAATATATTAAGCATAGAGAAGAAATTATTGCAAGAAATGTAAATGTTTTTCTAACATAATGTATTATATTTATATGCACATTCGTAATATAATATCATTTGAAACTTTTATTAACCAGTCAACTATTTAAATTATTAAAATGATAGAAAAAGAGATTGAGAGAAATCGAAGAATATAATGATAATATTAATAAACAAAACAAAAAACAAGCGACAAAGATTCCTCAAGTTAATGAAGCAGACTTGTTGAAGACCGTTCAAGGTAAACTTACGATGATGATGATGATGATGATTAATAAAATTATATTCTAATTTTACATAATTATTTTTTTAGAATTATCTAATATATGGAAAAATGATGCAATAATATTAAACCAAAGATTAAATCAACAAGAAAATACTGATTATAATTCTGGTGAACAACAATGAAATAATAATAGTAAACTTATTTGATTAAAAAAAAAAATTATAGTTTTTTGACATGTTATTTTTTTTTCTTTTTTTATTTACACCATCATCATCATTATTATTAAAACAAATATCTAGAACTTAAAAATAATAAGAAAAAAAATCTTTATAATGAATGTTTTCTTTTTCACAATTGATCTAATAAAATTTCAACAGCATCAGATTCAGTGTTTTCTACATTATTGGTTCGAGATGAGATTCCGCTTCTAATGAATATTAATTATAATTAGTTTTTTCCTAAAAAAATAAAATACTCAAAGGAATTATTGAATGATACACTTGCATCGATTTGTTTGTTAAATTATCTGTTATAACATCTTCCATAGCCGATGATGGTTCAATTGGTGTTGCTTGAGAGTGTTTACGCCTTAAAAATCTAATCAATATATTAATTGATTTATTACTTGCAAATAATTGAAACGACTTTAAGTTACTTGTTTACCTGGATTTAACTATTTGACCATGATAAGTTTCACTTCCTCCAACCTTTTCTTTACTCTCATTATCTACACTATTTCTATAATCAACTTTATCAATATCGTCATCTGTTGAAAGTATTTTACGACCGTGATAAGTTTCGCTTCCCCCAACCTTTTCTTTACCCTTATTATTTACACTATTCCTATAATCAACATTATCAATATCGTCATTTGTTGAAGGTACGTTATTTATTGTGTTGTCGAATCTATTTTTTTTGGATGCTGGAAAATCTGATGGATCAAGTTCCTGTTCTGCTGAAAAATCAGACGGATCAAGTCCCTGTCCTGGTATGATTGCTCCTAATAATCAATCATTATTAATAAGCAATTCTAATGTTTGTAATGCAATTAATTAATAATAATAAACCGTTATCGTCAAAATGATCATAATAATAATCTACTAACCATTCGAACTTAAAGCTTTCATCAATTTTCTAATTTTCTTTTTTTTAGCATTAAGTACTTTTTTAAACTAGTTATTTGTTTCGTCCCACAAAAAATTCATATAATTTTTAAAAATTTAATAATATATTTTTTATACACATATATAATTAAATCATATATGTATCGGTTTTTTATGAATACTATTGAAACGAACCCTTTCCATTAATATTGCCTCGGCATTCAACTTCTCGCTAATCATTACTTCAATTTTTTCTTGCATTTGATCCCGAATGTTTTCTAATGCTGATACACGAGACTCACAAGCGTTTCTACCTGCCTTAATTATTATTATTATTATTATTATTATTATAATCATCATTGTCATTAAATCATAAAATCATCAGATCATAACAATAATATGATTTTTTTACCAACAAATTTTGACGCTCATCAAGAAAAAAATTCAACCATTCTTTCCATAATTTTTCAGTTTCAAATGATGAAACAGGAGTCAATGTGATGTTTCCAAGAGTAAATTGAAATGTCTATTCTTTATTGAAATAGTAAATATAATAAGTAAATCCATATCAATACATATAACATATGCACGAATAATTTTAATAAGAATCAACATATATATATATATATATATATATATATGTTCGGTACTTATTATACAACCATACTACTGAATCCAGAATTTTCTAATGAACATCTCCAAGCAAGCTAATCAATGTTTTATATATAAATACACACGAATGATTTCATCATAAATTACAATAAAAAAAATATCATAAATGGTAACAACTTTACGTTTGCTTTATTTTCTGTAATAGTTACTCGGCAAGACAATTTATAGTCTTCAAACATTGTTTGTCCTGAAAATGCAGCTTGTGTAGCTCCACAAAATTTAGATACTTCATGAAAACTTTCAGGCTTGACAAGCTTTAGATCACCAATCGTGACTTACATTTAGAAAAAGAAATAAAAAAAAAAGATTTATTAAATAATATATACACGTTAATTAAAATAAAAATCTTACCATTTTGATTCCAAAAAGATTTACAATCGCTGATCGTTATCTCACATACAATTGCCTCATCTCTATGATTTAAATTTTTTAGTGGATCCATTCTCCATTTTACTTGAATGTAAAAGTTTTTTTCTAATTCATTTTCTGTTGGTACAGTTATTCGAAAGAAACTGATTCTTTTAAATGAATCTATCACCATTATGCGCTATTAATTATGATGATAATATTATATTATTATTGGCTGATAATGAATGCTTTACGTGGCTACAGAATGATCGACATTCAAACATCTCAATATTAGTGATTATATCACATAAAAAAACCATTTATTATTATTATAATTATTATAATATTTTACATTATTAGGTTAAGTTATTATTATTATTAAAGATAAAAAATGAGATGATGCAATTTATTATACACTATTTCTTCTTTGAATTCTATCTCTTTGATACCCATTACACCCTTTGTCTATTAATCCCGCAATTTTACCCTCAGCTTCCCACCTTATTAATAATTCTTTTCCTGCCTTATACCCAACCTCAAAAATTTCATCAAATTTACTAAACTCTAAAGTTCCATATTGTTGCACTGGCATTTCCATATACAAACAACCTGGTGTATTCTTTGCTTCCTCCAATGTTTTCACACTTGATACATATGCTAAACGCGACTGTATATCTGCTATACTGGGAATCTTCTGATTACTAAATGGATTAAATTTATTAAGTAAAACCCACCACCCTGATAATGAATCTCCATAATATACAGGTGACGTATCATCATGGCTAGCAACGTCTACTGCAATAATTGTATCAGCACCCATGGATTTCATAATCCCAACCTACAAAGAATCAATTGATATGGTTATTATATCTACTAAATGTAAGTGTAGGTGTGCAATATATATGTTTATTTATTTATATCGAATACTAATAATACTAACTGGTAAATTGTCCATATATCCACCATCAACTAATAAATTACCATTATCGCATATTGGAGGCAAGAATCCAGATAGTGACATGGAAGCTCTAATATATCGCCATGCATACCCAGATTGATGAACCTCCATTCTGGACCACGTTATATTAGTGGTAACACAAAAATATGACAACCAAAAATCTTCAATTAGTGTATCATAAAGACTTTTCCAAATACCACGATTAAATTCATATCCTTTTTTTAAAAAAACAAAGGAATAAATTAGCCATTTTTATATATATATCAATATCAACATCAGTTTGTAATTATAAAGTTTACCTGTAAACCATGCAGTAACCGGATAAGTCAAGTCAAAAACTTGTCTCCATTTACTACTCATCCTACTTGCAAATGCTTTGGCTCTGCCTAAAATTGCTACATTATCTGAATCTCGAGCATATAGTCCACCTATAAATGAACCAATACTAGTACCTCCGATCATGTCTATTGGAATTCCCGCTTCCTCTAATGCTCTAATCACACCAATATGAGCAATCCCACGGGCACCACCACCCCCTAAAACAAGACCAACAGATTTTCCGCAGAGACGACGTGCTAATCTAATATTAAAAAGTAAATTTCGAAAAAAAAAAATTATAATACATTTATATTTATAGAAAACAATCAAAAATACTTGTGATTTACCTCGCAAAGTCACTTCTATTTCCGGTATAAATAGCGGGTGATCTTTTTTGCCTCCTAGGATAATAACTTATAGGATAATACTTTTGTATTTGATCTTTTATATCTTTTATATTCAATAAAGTATTCTTTCTAGATGGTTCAATCAACATGTTTGGTTTTGCAACATTCATTTGTACATGATGGTGAGCATGTATCCATAATCGATTCTAATAGTTTAAAATGGATGAATAAGAACAATATTTCATCGTAATCAAAGAACGCATTTTACAAAAATTAAAATTTACCTTCAACCACTGGCGAGTAGTCCCTGGCGAACAATTTCGTTCTGAATGTAACAAAACAAGTTCTTTTCTGGCTGTGGTTTTTGCACCGATTAAAATTCTTTCATATTCTCCAATAGATGGCTCTGAGTCACCCAATCCAACTAAAAGTATGCAATCCGCCTTAAGGAATTAGAAAAAATAAATAAAGTGTCAATATACATTTCAATGTTGTGAATGAATTAAACAATCTTTTAATAAAAAATATTTTATCATTGTCTATTCCACCTGTCTAATACAAGTTTGAGTCCATGAAGAATTTATACCCCCATCAGCCAAATATAATACTATTCTAGCATTTTCTTCTTGTTCTGCCAACCAATTAATTAATTTTAACCTTCCAATTTGATTGAATGCATGTTTACCCAATGCAGAAACTACAGAAGCATGATTCAAAAGTATGCACGATTCACCGGTTTTAAGTAATGCATTTTTTAACTTGCTGGCAAATTCGGCCACAGGAACACTTCCATTAACCGGTAATATTCCGACTGTTTTTAAATTTCTATTATTTTTCCCAAACTCTGTACTGCTAGTATTACCAATATTACAATCCAATTCTTGTTGTAAATGTGTCCTTCCTGCTATAATACGAGATATTTGTAAGGTGATTTCTGGATGTCTAAGAGCAAGTGAATTAAATAAGGTTTTTGGCATGCGAGCCAATTCAGTATCACGAATAGCATGTAAAGTGTATGGACGTGGTGCTCCAGCTATTGTTATTAATAAACTCAAATACATTAGTTAAGTTATTATTATTATTTATTATTATAATGTTAAATTAATGATATCATACTCATAACTTCAAGTTCGCCAACGCTCTGACCTTTCCCATATTCTCCAAGAATATCAATCACTCCACTTTCCTTTTCATTAATTGTACGCACACGACCACTAAGCACAATATATATGGAATCACTAACATCACCTTTTCTATATAAAACTTGACCTGCATTAACTTGTAACCAATCAAGCGCAAAATCAATATGAAGAACTATAATTATGTATAAATAAATAAATAAATATTTATCAAATAAGAAAAAATATCTTTAAAAATAAATAATTTTGCAAGAAAAATCTTTTTATTTTATTAAAATTATTACTTAATGGCGACAAAAGTTTAATCAATCTTTTTGCTAAAGTTAAAAGTATGGTTGGATTTTTTTCCATGAGACGATTTAAAGAAGCCTTTGATAAAAATCCAACATAGGTATCTGTACTAGCTCGAATATTGACAAAAGAAGGAAATCCTGTCAACGCTGCTAGATATCCAGCAATACCTCCGGATTTGATCATGAATAAGCTACGGTCTCTAGTATTAATATTCGGACCATTTGAGATTGATTCCTTTTTTTTATGTAAAGATTTTGCCGACAAAGGAATTGGAGTAGTAATTTTTGATTCAAATGGAGTAGAGCTTCCAAATAAATCATTTTTGTTTGCAGTAACATATACATCTAAAATACCATCAATGACAAAAAATAAGCCGACATTTCTTTCATCTTCCTTAACTAGATGGGAGCCTTTTGGATAAAATAAAATTTCAACATCACTTTCTATTTCACTATTTACTGAAGAAATTGTCTCTGAAATCGATTCATCATCACAACTAGGCTGTAAAAGACCAATACCCTTTGATATACCTTCAAGAACTGATTCACGAAGATACTGGTCATCTTCCGCATCATAGTCACGACCATTTATAGGTGATCCACTTGTAGGCTTCACACGTTCTTTGGTAGGAACTGAAAGGTATCTAGTAGTTGTAGATGTAAGAGATGAGTCTAAACCTTTATTATTCAAATGGTTTTTTGCAGTGAATTCGACATCACTTTCATAAGTCTTTCTGGGTCGTGAATTGTTTCTATTTTTTTTATTTTTGTTAATTAAACCACTATCACTCATATCCATATCATCATCATCATCATGATGTTCTCTTGCATATTTTGTCCCGCTACCAACAAATTTTAATCTAAGCCGTTCCATACTACCAGGTCTAAAGAAATCATTTGGGAGTCCATAACTAGCAACATCGTTCATCAATTTTTCAGTTCTCAAAAGATCCTTAGTCAGACCTAAATATTTGTATCCGGTCCAAAAAGTAACTCTTTGAAAACGAGTTAATATTACCTGCACAATATGAGCTACAGAATTTGGAAAATTTTCCGTTAGCCTATGAAATGCCTCTGATGGTATAACAGCCAAAGTAGTGTCAACAGTAGCTCTAGCAATGATGTTAGGATGGACATTTAATGAATGCAAACTTTCTTTTGAAATTTTTCGAAGAATTTGAGGTCTTGAATATTCATTTGGTGGCGATGAAAGATTTGACAAAGTATTATTATTTGTTTTATCTTTTCTTGAAGGTTTTTTTTGATGATTAATTTTCCCAAAATAATCATCTGCTTCTTCATCCAAAGTATTTAAATTGGAAAACATAATTTTCCAGCCTTCTTGATCATTTGTAGGCGGAATACCATCATCATATTTTTCCGATGATTTATTTTTCGAGTCAGTGACGTTGTCAACATGATCTTTTTTCTCCTCTGCTACTGTTGTTGGTTCTTCAGTTTCAGGATATCGAAGTTCAATATCTTCAGTGAATAAAGAAAGAATTGTAAACAAACTTGACAATGTACCACCATTTGTAACCTCATTCAACAATTGATAGCCACGATTATAATCATCACTTTCAAATGGATCCAATGCTATTTCTTCTTCATTAACAGTTTTCACAAATACTTGGACATGACCATCAACCACAATATAAAAAGATCTTTCTTTTTCTAACATTAACGTGTCACCGGTTAATAATTTTTTTGTTTGTAGATGTCTTGCCAGTTCATTAAAAACAGGCTTTTCCAAATATCCAAAAACTTTAATACCCTCCAAAAACATGCTCAAAAATTCATCTGGGTATTTACTCGGTTTTTCACTTTCACCAGTGACATCGGGATGTAAATCATAACATGGTCCTTGAGATTGAGGCTTCTCTACTGGAAGGCGTGAGTATTTGTTATGAAACCGATAACGAACCACAAAATATCCTAAAGTAAAAGATAATCCAAAAAATATTAATAATGTTGTAAAATTGAGTTGCAATGTGAATGACCACGAAAGAAGTTTATAGATCCAAGTAGGAAGAGTAATTGTAGCAAAAGATGCTAGTGAAAAAGACCAATTAAATATGATCGACGCAATAAGTAAAGGAAAAGAATATTCAATATTTTCAACATCCAACAAGTCTGTTGAGCCTGTTGTTAAATTAATATCCATTTTTTATTTATAGTTGGAAAAAAAAAGAGAAATACAAATAATACGATGATCCGGTAAATGACGCGAAAGCATAAATATGCATGATTATGTGGTTGGGTATAAAATAATTATTACATGTATTACATATAGAAAAAAATATCAATTTACTACTATCCTAATTCGTAAATAAAATTAAACATATAAAAAAAAGAAAAAAAACCAACAACATTCAACATATCGTGGTATTATTATGGAAGAACATTAGCAACAATTTTTAAAATCTCTTCCGTATTTTTGCCAACATTTTTCATATCTTTTGCAACTGATTGCCAATATTCACCATGGTGAGGTTCAGCAGCAACACATCGTGATATCACGTCTTCTTGTAGTTTCTAGAGAGAAATTATTTTATGTAAGATTCTTTTAACTTATCTTTAAAAAAGAAAAAGAAAATTTTAAATATATCATACCTCTGTTCCATGTTGACATTCAAACTTATAGAACCAACCCCATGAATCACCACAATCAGGATCCACTTTTACGACCTTTTCAAACCATGTACGTGCTTTATCGACTTTACGCTCTAACCAAAATAGTCGTGCCACTGTGGTAATTACTATTGGATCGTTATCGCATTTTTTTAAGGCATCTACTGATTTGGTTCTACGTTGTGGTCGAGGTTCCATAAAGATTGCCTCTGACCACAATAAACCCGAGTTTGGACATTCTTGTAAAGCTAATAAATAATATGAAGAAAATGACATTTGATTGTAAATAACATTGTGTATTTTTTAAAAAAATTTTTTTATTAAATGAAAATATTTTTTGAATAGTTTACCTTTTGACAATAAGGCCTTTGCCATATTAACGTTGTTACCTCTTAATTCAACTCGAATAGATTCGCACCATAATTCAGGTATTTTTGGATTTAATAAGCGGCCTCTTTCTAGAGTAGCCCTAGCTTTTATTAATATTCCTGCCTTTTCTTCTAAACGTGAAGCCAAAATCCACAAAGTGACCGATTTTGGACAATTTTTTACAGCTCTTAAGTAGGTCGCCCTTGCTGTTTGTATGTCACCATTTTCGTCTTCGATTTGTCCTTTGATCATCCAAAGTTTATCAAAAGTGGGGAATTTTTGTAAAGCTTCATCCAACATAGACAAAGCTTCTGTTATCTTATTAAGTTGACGTTCCAACACAATGGATTTCATCCATACTTTTTCTGTGCCTGCTTGTTCTCTAGCTCTTTGTAACAAAACTCTTGCACGTTCATATTCTCCATTTTCAGCTTCTAGTTTCACAGCAGCTAGCCATATTTGTTCGCTGTTTGAGTTGGCTTTGAAAGCCTCAGTTAAAATATATCTTGCACCATTAACATCACCCTACGTTGAATTAAATAGTTATATTATTAAAGTTAATCATTTGTTGTATACAAGTTGGGAAAAATAAATAAAAAACTTGTATTTATACTAACAGATAACCATTTCTCTTTAGCTCCCATTAACCAAAGGACCTCAGCTTGTGGACAAAATCTTACAGCACGTTGAAGCAATTCTTCCAAGGATTCTCTAAAAATTTATTTTATTTTACCAAGTCAATAAATAAACATAAAAAAGTTATTTAATGATAATAATTAAATTTTCTTACCTTGTGCCATGCGACTTTTCAAGAAAGGCAGCTCTTCTCCAGATTGATTTTTTACCAGGGAAAGTTTTTAACGCTTGAGCATATATAGCTCTAGCGGTTTCAATTGAGCCATGTGACACACAACTTTCAGCATCTTCCATCCAAATAGCCTTTTTGTCTTGTTGTTCAATTCCCATACCAATAGTATTTCTTACCATGGCTTGGCAAGTTCCAATGCTACCCTCTTTTTCACATTTTTCAGCCTCTTGTAACCATTGCTCTCTACCTAAAACAGTACCCTTTTCTGATAGGACAGTTACTGCACGAGCAATGATTTTGTCTGTCATTTTTTCGTTTCCTTGTTGTTCTTCAAGGCGAGCTGCTGCTATCCATATTTCATGGGATGTGGGTATAAAAGTACGAGCACGATTAAGGACTTTTTTGGCATTTTCATAACTCTCAAGCCTTGCAAGCGCCAACCACAAATCAACAGAAAGAGGAACCAATTCAGTTGCACGACCTAACAATATACAAGCATCAGCTGGGTCTTCTTCCATATTGACAGCAGCTTTCCAAAGTTTCACAGAATTGGGTACAAATTCTAACGCCCTCCTAAGAACTTGTTTTTGATTTTTAGGAACAGTTTCTAATTTTACAGCTTGCAACCAAATTTTAACTGATTGTGGAAGATGCCTAACAGCATTTGCTAATATAGTTCTAGCAGTATCAGCATTGTTCAAGCGAGCTGCTTCCAACCATACGTCCTCATTTTTAGGACATTCTTCACAGCCTTTAGCGATTATAGTTCTAGCTTGTGATAATTTACCAGCAACTTCTTCTAAACGTGCTGCTGCAATCCAACCTAAATAAATAATTTTTGGAAGAGTTAAAAAAACCTATTTTAATATTTTAAAAATAATAGAAGACAAGGTTATCATGTAAAAAGTTGTATATAAAATTACCAGGCGCGTGTTTTGGATTTGTTGAAATTACCGAATTCAATAAAAGCCGAGCCTTCTTGATATCACTAAAAAATGCGAAAAAAATTTTTAATAAAAATCATAATATCATTTTTTTCAATTACATAATAAATGTCTCAAATAATGAAATGCGTACCCTATTTCAGCATCACTTTTAATAACTACACTATTTAAATCTGTTAAATAGCCTTTTGGATCAACAGTAGTCTGACCACTAACAGAATCTGAAATTTGATCCAATTTCAAACTTAGAACTTTATCTCTTGCTTGTCCAATCTCGATAAAATTAGTCATCATTCCAGAATCTGGTGCAGGTGTTTGGAAACCGCCAAATTTCTAAAAAAAAAAAATAATGGATAAATTTTATAATTAAATTTAATATATATCAAATCATCTATCCAAGTCATTTATTTAATCATACTTGTTGTTGAGCGTCCAAAGTGGTAATATATTGATTATCTTCTCTAGATTTTTCCAACAGTGAATCTGGGACAGCATAATATCTAATAAATGGCATGGAATACATTATTAATTTTATATTTATATATTTATAAACAATTTTAAAAATCATAATAAATTGAAGAATTTACCTTTCTCTTAAATTAGTTTTTTTACGATTTTTTCCAACAAGATCACCAACTTCTGGTAAATTTGCCCATTCAACATCTGTAACAGCAGCAAGGCCTCTTTTTAAATCAGCAAATTGTTGTTGAATTTTTGGTCTTTCTGCACGATATTTTTCCAATTCTTGTTTTTCACGAGCTTCTCTGTAATTAAACAAAAGGAAAATAAATAAAAATAAAAATAAAAATAAAAAATATTTATATATGATTGCAAACCTTCTAGCTTTTCTACGCTCATCCATTTTCAAATCAATTGCTTCGTAAATCTTATCTGCTTCTTCGTCATCTTCTTCATATGGTGCAGAAGCAAAAAGACCTGTTTCATTATCGGGATCTTGGAATCTTTCATCATCGTCATCATCATCTTGTTGAGCCTTCTTTTGTAATGCATCACTAGTAGTTGTCAAAAGTCATGATTTAGCAAATACATGTTAATTGAATCTTAAATTTTGTATGGTTTACCTCTTTCAGATCCACTTAAAGTAGGCACATATTTTTAATGGTCAAGAAAATTGAAAGAGGTTTTATAGACAATTTTGTTGATTAAACGGATTTATATATATATATATATTTAATATTTCAAAAATCGTAAACCATAAAACTCACCTGAAATCAGTAGGTCCTTCTCTGGCAGGCCCTATATCTGAACGTGTGGTAAAACCAGTTGCACTTGAAATTAAAATAAAAAAAAAAGTAATCAATTCGATGAATCAATCAGCATTCAAAACATCAAACATTTTGTATAAATAATTTTAGACACACACCCTCTACCCAAGCCTGCAACATAATTTGGAGGTGCTTCTTTGTTCATGAAATCTTTTGTTGCCGAAAACATTGTTTTAAATCAGTTTTTTTTTAAATTATAAATTCATGGATATTTTTAAGCAATTTTATCTATTTTTATGATGTTGCACAGCATAGCAGACATTTGCATGTTTGGTAATGATTTGCGTCAATCACATTTTGATTTTATCACATAAAAAAGAATTTTGATTGTGCTGAATATAATAAATATTGTGGATAATAAGGAAGTACAAGTCATTATTGTTATAATGACATTGAATTTTATTTATTTACAAAAAATAAAATGTTAAATTCACACAATCTATTAGATTTTTGCACAATTATTATTTTTTTATAATGTGTCTTTATCTCTGTATCTATCACATCACATTTTTTTTATGTATATATATATTAATATAAAAATATTAAAAATAGGTTTGTTTATTATCCACAGTATTTTATTATACATAGTACTTTATTATCCGCATTATATATATATAACTGTTGATTATTACCAAATTGGGTAAAGATATTCAAAGATGAAATTTGGGGCATGCTTGCAACAAAACCAGACAAAGTTTCAGGGATCAAAATTTAGTCATCAGTAATGTGATCATAATTAATAGTTTTATAATATCCCATTTGTTATCTTTAGTGATATATAGAACTATCCCTATATAAAAATAATTAAGATGAAACTCATTTATATCAGATCTACCATGGAACCAAAGAATTATAGCACAATTAGAAGTGTTTTAAAGAAAGAACAAGGAAAAAAGATTGCACCTTATGTTTTCAAAATAAATGATACTTGGACACTTGAAGCTTATCTAAGAAAAGAAAGAATTACCAATGGAATTTACCAAGAAGAAAGAAAAATAATAAACATTAGAAAAAGAAAGCAGCATGAAGGTACATTACTACCTGACAAAAAACAGAAATCCATAGAAGGAAAATAATATGCAATGAATCTTATTATTAAATACTGATCTATTTTTTTACTGACAAA